AGTCAGTGTCATGGTAGAAGACACAGAAGTACACTATAGAGCCCCGATAACACCTCTGGCTTGCTGTCTTGATAGATTAAGGCCAACCTTCATGGTGGCCATTCTGCAGATGAGTATGTGTGATCACCTCTTACAGGCAAACCAAAGCTTTTCTACCTAGGGGAAGCAGATGTGTTGAACAAAATAGAACAGTCATTCAGTCAGATTTTTTGTTTGATTGTTAATCCTCATCTGAGGATATTTTTTCCATTGATTTTTAGAGTGGAATGGAGGGAAGTGGGGGGGGGGGGGGGGGGGGGAGACATCTATGTGAGAGAGACACATCGATTGGTTGCCGCCTACACACACCCAACAGGAGTCGGGGATCAAACCTATAACCCAGGTACATGCCTTGACCAGGTATCGAACCCGTGACCCCTTCAGTGTACAGGCCAACATTCTAACCACTGAACAACACCAGCCAGGGCTTTCAGTCAGATCTTATGTCACCCCTCCAGTCTCTCTCAGCTTGTACAGCAAAGAATACGCTGTTGATCAAGTTAAGTGGTGGGGTCAGGGGTAGTCTCGGGGGGTAGTTCACCAGTTCCCACAAGATGGTCTATTTGGAGGGGGGAAATGCACTCAGCCCTTTCTTACTTCCCATTCTAGGCGAGACGATGCCTATTGGCCAGAAGCCAAGAGAGCTGCCCTGGATGAGCGTTACCATTCTGACTTCAGCCGCTACAACCGCTTCCATGACTTTGACCACAGAGACCGGGGCCGCTACCCTGACCACTCAGTAGACAGGTTAGCTGGGCCCTCATCATCCTGCCTACTTAATGCAGATGACGTTTGTCCTGGGTCATTCTTAATAGCGAGGAAGTGAGGTTGGCCCTTTTAGGTTCCGTGAATCCATTTAAACAATGTGTGTGTGGAATACTGGATTCAATTTAGGAGATGTTTTCTATTTGGTGGTCTAACCAATATCTCCTTATGGTTTCTTTTCAATTATCTCTTTCAGGAGAGAAGGTTCAAGGTCAATGATGGGAGAAAGAGAAGGACAGGTAAATCAGAAGCTATGCTTGTGGGCAAAGTTTTCCCATTGAGTTCTCTTTTGTTCTTCTGCCAGCCTTCCCTCCTCCCCCCTTTTGCATTAGTGCAAGAATGAGTAAAGGAGAAGGGCAGCCCTTCGCTGTTTGTGGGATGACAATTTGAATTGTGCTTCGTCTTGTTTGGAAATCTCAGCAGGTTTTCTGAAGCCCTTTTCGGATTTTACCTGAAGTTCTACACGCCTAGTAACTAAATGCACTGGTAGTAAAATGCTAGAAAGCCTTGGGTGAGTCTGAAAGGCTCTGTAGGAATGTACCTTGTGACCCACATAGCTGACAGATGCCACACTTCCTTATTGTGGAGTCCAGGTGTACCTGTGGTCGCTGGTCAGCCTTCCCTGCTGAGCCTCAGATAGCATCTCAGTCTCTGGTCCACACTCATTCTCTGTGCAGAATTAACACCTTAGGAAATAAGCTTAGTTTTCTACTTTTTTTCCTATCTTACATGTGGATTGAGAAATTTCGCAAGGAGCCCCAACTCTTGAGTGGTTTACATGGAAAATCAAAGGGATTGAGAGAAGGTTGTGGTCAGGGTGGTGGTCAGCAGAATTGGTGTCCTATGAGTCCGTCCTTTCCCTGACTCCAGCATCTTTCCCGGCCTGTTCCATCATTTCCTAAGAACGTGGCTGGGGATGGCTTGGTTTTTTGGTATATCGAGGGGTTCCTCTGCCACCTCAGGAGTAATTCTGTGATCCTCGCCTGAGTCTGTTTTCTCTACTCTTGGAGATAAATCTTACATGCAGCCAAATCTAGACCCAGTCTTACGGTTTTTCTTTGGTGGAGAAGTTGAACACAGTGGTTAAACTGTCAAGGCTCTAGAATCAGAACCAGGGTCATGCCTGGTGCCACCACTTTTGCCGAGCCTAATTCTCGAGCTGTGAAATGAGGTTATTCTACCACATAGGTAGTTGAATAAATGAGACCACATGTGCACAGAAAGTGTTTGCATAGTCCCTCACACATAGTTGTTATTGATAGCAGGTTTTCATCTGACATCAGACAATGCAAAACTGAAAGGGTTTGTTGTTTTTAGTGCTGCCCCAAATGGCAGATGATGACATATGACATCAGAAAGGGGAAATAGCACAGACCCTCGGGGCCTTGTTGAACTGTTACATGGACTAGTTAGTTGGACAAAAGAATGTTGGTTAAACTTTAAAATGCCAGGAAGAGGTGGAAATGGGCTTTAAAGAACCAGGTCTTGCTAAGTTGAACATTCCTGCTTCCCTGTATTAAATGCTCCTCTGTCCACTTATGTGTCTTTAGATAGAAGGCTACATGTAAAAATTCATTCTTTCTTAAACCTTGTTCTTTGTCCACAATCAGATGAAGCTCTGTAAATCATGAGCTATAATTTCTTTTGTAGAGTGTTATTTCAGGGGTCCATTTTAAATAGCTCTTCTTTAATTTGACAGCACAGACTTTGGTGGACACTTTGGTCTTTTATTTCGCCCCTTGAAGGGACAATGCTCTATTTTGTCCACCTAGTAAAATTAACCCCCTTATCTTCTCTTGTGGAGGTGTCCGTGCACATTTAGGGGTAAGAGACCAGGTGGCAGTTAGGGCTCCAAGTAAGGGCATGGCCTTGGAGGGCTCCCAGCTTAAGGGGTAGGTGAGCATGGCTGTGGGCAGTGACCGGACTGCTGGAGCAAGCATCTGAGGGGCTTCATGACCAGGGCTCTCTTCTAGTTTCCTCTCATGTCAAGTGTGATCCTGGGGCAAAAGCCCCTAAGGTCACCAGTTGGGTTTGTGGAACAGCAAATCAAGGAGGGAAAGCCACCTCCCCTGGTCCCTAAAAGTCATCGATGGGTGTTCCTTTAGCAGACAGGGGCTTCTTCTCTCATCCCTCCTTCATGGAGCACGAAAAATGGGGCCAGGCACTACTGGGGCTGCGCCAGCCCAGCGCTTGATGGTGCAGAGCCGGTGGCAAATCAGGGACATGATGCCAGGCCCAGTAGTGAGTTGTGTTAAAGGATCCCTCGTGGCCCTTCTACTCTGTGGTTCTACAGGGGTGTTGATTATATTGTTAGCACAGGGGCCCATTCTTGGCACGGAGCAGTTGCTAGGTCCCAGCACCCCTCCGTCCCTCAGTCCCTCAATTCTCTGCCTTCTGATTAGGGTGAGTCTCAGCCCTTTCCTTGACTCTTGAGCACCTGTTCGTCACCAGGCCATGAGCAGACTTCAGGGATGCAGCTGTGTCTTGTGAGATGCATGGCATGTGTGGCATAAGGCAGTGTGCAGAGTGCCTGGCAACGTTGACTTGGGTGTGCAAGTGCTTCTGAGTAGTAGTTGTCTTTATTACCTTGTTGCCCCAAAGGCCTTGGGGCGTTGACTTGGGTGTGCAAGTGCTTCTGAGCAGTTGTCTTTATTACCTTGTTGCCCCAAAGGCCTTGGGATGCAGGGATAATACTAAAGCCTTTTCATTTTGGCTCTTTAACATTCAGCATTATCCTGAACGCCACGGAGGACCAGAGCGCCATGGACGGGACTCCCGTGACAGGTGGGGTGGATATGGCTCTGACAAGAGGATGAGCGAGGGCCGGGGACTGCCTCCTCCACCCAGGTTTGTGTCTCACACTCCACAGTTCCCTTGTGGGCCTCACATATAGCTGACAGGCTGAGGACCCACCATCTTGGGGGATGTGATGAGCACTGGCTCTGTGGCTCAGTGCACCAACCATGGCTCAGGCCACCTTGGAGCTCTTTGAGTAACATGGGGCCAGAGCCAGTCCTGTTTCCCTCAGTCCCCACTGCCTGAAGGGATGGGGGGCTGGGAACACAGAATGCTAACCCCAAGCTCCAGAGCCCACTGCTGTTGCTGTTCTGAGAGGCAGAGATGTGGACAACCCAAATCAGAGATGTCTCTTTCCAAGGGACAGACGTGACTGGGGGGACCATGGCCGAAGAATTGAGGATGACCGTGCATGGCAGGGCACTACTGATGGAGGCATGATAGACAGGGACCACAAGAGGTGGCAAGGTAAGAACTGGCTCTCAGGGACACATCTGTCTGAATGAAGAGAAGCATCTAGAAAGCTTAAGCAACAGCTGCTCTTCACTAATCATTGCTAATCCCCCTCCTCTGAGAGCAGGAGTGCTTTCTCTATTCTCCCTCCCCAGGGCTTGGTAGAGGAGAAACCCCTTAATGACTGGGTGGGGGTGGGATGGGAAGTGAGGGTTGGCACAGAAGAGTGATGTGGGTGTTGGTAACTCCTCCCCACCGTAACTTAGTGAGGACAGCCCTGTGGTGGTCAGGTGCTTGTACATGCACTGGAGACCTGTGAGATTTGGTTTGGGTGGCTCAAGAAAGGAACTGGACTTACCAGAATCCTTGTCATTGTCTTCTAAACTACATTCTGTGCTTGGAAGTACCTTGTGAAAAGTGTCTCTTGTCTTCCAGGTGGTGAGAGAAGCATGTCTGGTCACTCTGGGCGAGGTCACATAATGAACAGGGGAAGGATGTCAGGGTAAGGCATTCTGTTGGTCTCTGTACTAGTCTCCTCTTCATATGTTGGCTTGCCTTGGGGAAGTTTTAGAAACATTCAAGTCTTCCCAATTACACTGCCTCCCCTAGTGTGCTGTGTTCTAAAATGGTGTGGGGTTTGTCCCATGGTGCTGCTGCTTGAGGGAAGAGGGTTTTGAAGAGCATGTGACCCACAGGCACCCAACACATCCCATTAAACAGACTCCGAACATATGAGCATCTGCATTTGTTCCAGGCGTGGCAGCTTTACCCCAGCTGGGGCCTCTCGGGGTCACGTGATCCCGCGTGGTGGAATGCAAGGTGGATTTGCTGGCCAGAGCCGGGGCAGCCGACCCAACGACGCTCGCTTCACTCGCCGCTACTAAGTGCTTGGAATCCTGTGTTCCGTCATGTGGCAACCAGAGTATGTTCTTTTAGGAGTTATCTTAAACTGTGTACAATATCTTTTTTTTTTATCTGCTGCCATATTGTAGCTCGATACAATGTGAATTTGTTTTTTGGTTTTTTTTTGTAATAAATGTGTTTCTGTTCACATATCCTTTATTTAAAGCATCCTCTCTTTTTACTTCTCTTTAAAACGAAATTATACTCAGCACAGCTTTTCCTTTAGGGAAGGAGGGCTGAAAGGGGCAGCTTCCAGGGACTGTTGGGGTTTCCAGCAATCTTGTAGTCCTTGCTGAACAGGCTGTTATTTTCTGTATGTATGGTAAAATACATGTAACATGAAATTTACTATTTTAACTATTGTTATGTGCACCGTTTGGTGGCATTTAATTCATACTGTGTAAACCATTACCAGTCATCTTCAGAACTTATTTCCCCAAAGGAACGCAGTAAACTAACTTATCTTCCCTCTCCCCCAGCACCCATCATCTACTTTGTCTCTATGGATCTAACTCCTCTAGGGACCTCACATGAGTGGAACTACATCCTAGTGGGGTGAGGACAAGTTAACAACAAAGTGGGGAGCTGAAGGAAGAGGAGCTGTTTAATACCAGGAAGTGATGAACTCTGTTGGGGGAAGGGCAGGGCCTGAGTGTGGAAGGGGTGTTGTCAGGACATGAGAAGGAAGGAGACCTTATGGCTGGACAGTGTGAGGCAGGTGTGTTCAGGGACCAAGCATTCTTGTCTGTAATCCAGGGATTTGCAGCTTGGTAGTTGTCTCCCACCCTCGGCTTCAAGGAGTCATATCCCCTCTGCTCAACCAATGGGCTCGCTGTTCCTCTGCCAGAGACCAACCACCGATCTGTGACAAAGGGACCAAGTTCTGCCTTTACATCCTGCCTTAGAGCAAGTTCCTTCATTTCTGAGTCTCCATTTGCTTAACTGTAAAATGCAGCTACTGGGTTGCTTTAAGAGGTACTATTGTGGGACTTTCCCCCTCTTCCCCACCCCCCATCCCATCTCCCCTCCACCCCAGATATAAATAGCCTAATTCTCTGAAGGCCACAGAGCAGCTCCCAAGTTCTAGTCAACTAGGATCCCTGTTGACCACAAAACTGTTTGCAGAGAAACACACAGTGGTGTGTCTGTGTGGGTGTCTCACCTTGTACTTCCAGATTTAATAAAAGCTGGTTTGGCCCTCAGCCACCTATGGGAAGAGACCAGGCTGCTGCAGCCCATGTGGCCCAAAGTTGGACAGCATAAAGGGGCTCATCCTTTGCCCAGCATACGGCTCTGGGAACAGAGCATCAGCTGGACTTTGTTCTCAGTGGGTGACATGGAAACCCTGAGCCCAGCACACACGAGATCCTTGAGGCTCATGTCTCTCCTCGGGTTTAGCAGAACTCACCATCTTAGCACAGTCCCACCAGGACAGGGACGGGGCGGGCAAAGTGAACTCTGGTGGCAAATGGGACTTGTCAGGTCAGATTTTAAAAATTAAGGAACTTGAGATGGCAGGTGACCCTGGGTTATCCAAGTAGGTCCAATATCATCATACAGGTCCTTAGGAAAAAAATAGGGCAGCAGGGGAGACAGATGTGAGAGAGGAAGACTGCTGGCTGTGAAGATGGAAAAAGGGCCCAAAGGACCAAGCAATGCAGCAGCCTCTAGAAGCTGGAAAAGGCCAGGAAATGGATTCTGGAGCCTCCAGGAGCCAGGCCTGCTACCACCTGGATTTTAGCCCAGTGAGACCCTGGTTAGGCTCTGACTCCAGAACTGAGACAGCCACAGGGTGTTCATACCAACCCCGAAGGAAGTTCTCAAACTAGTGTGATTATGTCCCCAGAGGACATTTGGCAGCACCTGGAGACATGTGGTTGTCATGACTGGGAAATAAGGGGTGCTACTGGCATTTGGGGGTGGAGGCAGAGATGCTGCTCATTATCTACAGTGCCCAGGATGGCCCCCAAAGACTCATCTGACCTTGAATATCAGTGATGCTGTGAGGAAGCCCTGCCCTGAGGTGGTAGGCGCTGTGATGGGGCACCCACAGGGTGCCAAGGAAGTCCAGAGTGGGCCCTCAACTCAGTCTGAGGAGAGAAGGAATAGGTTAGGGGAGTCAGCCAGGAAGAAGGGTGGTGGCCTGGTGAGGGGGCCCATGAGTTGTGGGCAACTAGGGGAGTAAGAAAAGGGTCCTTGGGAGGTATCTAGGCTCACAGGGAGGGCAGTGGGGAGCCATATGGTATTTCTGAGCAGGGTAGTGCCATGATCAGACTTGACTTTGGGAAAGACTGGTGGGGCCAGCCTAGAGGTGGGGAGACCAGGGAGGTGGTCTTGGCACTGGTAATGATACAAGTGGACAGAGAGGAATTGGGGGTCTGACTAGGTGAGGCAATGGAGGGGATCAAGAGTGGCACTCTGGTCTCTGGGCTGGCGCTGGATCCACATGGAGGATGAGAGTAGCCATGGGGAGTCAGGAGCCAGCAGCTGATCCTGGGCCCAGCATGTGGGCAGTGACTAAAATCATAGAGACTGTAGAGACCAGGGCTTGGGTTCAGTTTCAGGGGACCCTCCCATGCCCCAATACACACACACACACACACCCCAAGTTCATGGAGCTGCAAGACACAGCCTCCTGGAGATGAGGGTGCCAGGAGAGCCGAGCATGTCCCCAGGGCAGCCCCTTGCCCACCTACAAAGGTTGGTTTCCTTTTCTGCAGGTTTTGTTGGACTGACAATGGGCTTTTAACAATTGCTCGAGTGCAGTGGGGTGGCCTTGGCAGGTCTCTCCCCACTTCATAAAATAGTGATGATAAAAGTGGGTTGAGCCCAGCTCGCATGGCTCTGACTGGATGTCCTAAGAACCAGGTCACCGTTTGATTCTCAGGGCACATGCCCAGGTTGCGGGTTCCATCCCCAGTGGGGGGCACGCAGGAGGCAGCCGATCAGTGAGGCTCTGGATTGAGAGCACTCAGGGAGCCTGGTGGAGCATATGGCACAGCCAGGGTATAAATCCCTCATGGGCCCATGAGGGTGCGGCAAGTGGAAATCCTGTGTCCCAGGAAGGGTTTACGGTTAACCATCTGGGTTCCTGGTGGACAGGGTTGGGCTTTTAACCTGGCTGCGCAAGTGTCTCCATCTGTAAAATGGGCCGATGGGACTGGGGGAAGGGCTCAGTGGGTGGAGAGCCAGGCTGGGCGGGTCCTGAACCTGGGCCACACTCCTGCTTCCAAGATGGCCAGCACCAGCTCCCTCTTGGGCAGCACCAAGGATCAGGGATGCTCCCTGGCCTTACCCATCCTGCCTTCACCCTAGACCTGCTCCCATCCCAGTAGAGGCCCAGGGAGCTGCGCAGCATCCAGGTGACACAATGGACGGGAGACCCACCATGGAGACCATGGTAGCACAGGTCACTGGGTTTTGCATCCCCAAGCACCGCAGGCCAGGCCACCCATCGTCAGCTACACCTCTCTGTCATCAGGTGAACAGATGCATTGCTTCTCTGGGGAAATGCCTGGCCTCTACTTTCCTCACGTGTAATACCTGCTGCTTCTTCCAGAATCAGGGGCCTGGGTGAGCTCTATCCCTAAACTGAGGGACAAACACCCCAGCACTCTTGGGAACAGAGAATTCCATGCTGGCGCAGAGAACCATAGCCAGGGTCTTCTCCTTGCCCTCAGGGCGGGCTCCTGGACCAGCCTCTGGCTCCTATCTATGCCCACCTCCTACCCTGACTGGGGCACAGATTTCCTAGTGCCACCATAGGGAGATACTCTCAACGGTGGGGTGGCTGGGAACATCTAGACAGCCCAACCGCCCAGCAGACACGTTCAGATCACTAGACGGCTGATCCAGTGTGGGTAGGAGTGCCAGGGAAGGCTTCTGAAGGGAGCAGAGCACCTCCATAAGATGAAGTCGGGAGGGCAATGACCTCCAGGCCTGTGCTTACCAGACTGGAGACCAGGCAAGATTGGGAGTGTAGATGGCACAGGAGAGATGAATTCTTCCCATTCCACTGAGCTCTGACTCCCAGACTGCCTATCCAGGGCTCAGTCCGCTAAGACCCCAGCCCCCTCAGCCCAGTTTGGCCTTCAGCACTTTCTCACCCTTTCCCAGGGCCCTGAGCACTGGGGCCACCTATCTGTTCCCACTTCCCAAGTGGGGTGAGGGTCCTGGTGGTCAGGGACCAGACAGAAAAGGTGTGTACCAAGATCAGGCCGGGAGCAGCCCCCAGGAGCCAGAAGCACACACACTCAAAGCAGGGCCACCCCATGCTCTTGGGGCAAGCACACAGGTCAGGAAGCACTTCCAAAGTCCTTTATTGGGCTGGCAAGGCCGGGAGCTGCCCTTAGATTAGGGTCCCATTCCAGAGGCTTGAGGTCCAGGGCACCCTGCCCATTTCCAACTGGGGAAGGCAGCCTCCTCTGATAGGCTACTTGATTCGCTCCTTCAGGTATTCCCAGCCCTCCTTGGTGTATTCACAGGCCTTGGAAGGGGCCACCGACAGGGCTGACATCACCGTAATGATGCCTGTGGGGAGGGAAGAAGGGCCCAAGGTCTGGTCAGGCTCCCCACCTACAGCCAAGGGGTTTAATCCAACCCCTTGGGACACCCAACTCGGCCATGCTCTTAGAGGTGCCACTTCCAACTTGGTCAATTCCACACCAGGAAACTGAGACAGAAGAGGGACAGGACCTCACCTTGTCTGAGGCCACCTACCCTGATGTGCTCCAGTGGTGGCCCAAGCTCTCAAAAAGAGGCCCCATCTTGCTCCTACCTCCCTGGAGCCTCCACCCCTTCCCTTTTAGATGTGCAAGAGGCACACACAGCAGTAAGGGGAGTGATGGAAAGGCATGAGCAGGAAGCAGGGTCAGGGGTGCTAGACTAGGGTACCTGGGGCCACACCCCCAAGCAGAGGGACCAGGGCCTACCTGAATTCCAGGACTCACGGATGTGAAAGTTAAACTTTGGACGGGCTGGGAGCTGGGAAGAGACAAGGAAGAAGGGGCTGATGAAAGGGGAAGGGCCTGGCAGCCCCAACTCCCTCCCGAGGCAGGGAAAGCAGCGCATGCCCCAGTGAGCAGGAACCAAGCAAGGTTGGAGGGACCAGGGACTGAAGGCCACCCCAAAGTTGATTCCCATCAAGCTTCAGCCTCACTCCCGGCATGGGGTACCTGCGGTATCTTCAGGCCCGTCTGCTCACACACGTACTGGCCGAACTGGTACATGGCAGGGGGGACAACCTCCTCCGCCCTCTGAAGGGCTGCCTGGCCCTTGTGGCTGGGCCCCAGCAGCTCCTGGTCGTACACCAGGTAGACCACTCCCCCAGCCACACTCCCCTTGATGAGAAACCTGAATGCAGGGAAGGGAACGACAGCAGCTTAGAGAACACTGCAGGCCACCCACGGGATGTGTGGGAGGGGCGCGGGGGGGCCCTAGGCCTATGGGAGTAGGAGTTAGTCCCCCTAGGGAGCCCCACAATCCAAAATGTGACATACTGGAAGCCAGGCAGCTAATAGGGAAATGACTGGGCACCTTGCTACTCAGAGGCATGCCTGACCCCTGCTAGGCACAGTTCTCCATTTACAGTGTGCAAAGCAGGAGTACGCCGCCCATTCAACTTAGAACCTGAGGCCCGCAAAGGGACAGTGGATCACTAATGATTCCGCTCAGAGCAGGGAACAGTGAAGACACGTCAGTCCCTTGTCTGCCTTCTGTCCCGAGGAGGGACCCTCCGCGAGTAACCCGAAGGGTTTCCAAGTGTATCTGGTCGCTTCCTGCACGTCCAGCGCCGCTCTGGGCGCGCATTCACCTCCCAATAAATGGCGTACGGCACACCCACTTTATAGAGAAGGCAACGGAGACTCGGAGAGATCTGATTCCGAGAATACGAAAGCAAGGGCTCGCGCGACCTCGGGAATCACCTCTCCGCTTGAAACTCAGTTTCCCCATGGGGCACCTGACACTACGGGAAACGAAGAGCAGGTGGGGAGCGAACCAGAAGAGGGTGTCCGCAGGGAGGACTTTCTCGGGAGCTCGGGGTCCGCCCGCCACACGCACCTCATCATCGACCACACTCGGGACACCATAGCCGCTCGACTCCGCACGCAAGGACAGTCGGCTCGCCCGCCGCTTCCGGTAGCGAAGCGGCAGAGGCCTCTGGGAAGTGTAGTTTGCCTTGTCAGCCGCAAAGGCCTCCGGGAGTCGGAGTCTCGTTACCGCTCAGAAATACTAGAGGTTTGGGTCCCACCGCAAAAGTGTGCAGAGAGGTAATCTTATGGGCCGGGCCGCCGCAAAGCTGTCTGGGAAATGTGTTCAGCACTGCCTCGTGAGGCGCCGGAGGGCTCGCCTAGCCGCCAAGGCTCCTGGGAAATGTAGTCCCGTTTCGGTGGCGTGGATGAAAAGAGGAGTAGGGTGTCTGGAGTGAGGCCTGAGGGTAACCCAAGAAGATGTCGGAGGCCGGGAGATCCACCCGCGCCCGCGCGGGTGACTCAGGGCAAGGGCCTAAGAAGAGTGTCCCTAGAAGCCAGTTGTCACGGCAACACGAGGGCGGAATTGTTCCAGAGAGGTGGGTCTAGGTCACGTGAGCGGTTTCGAATGGTGGGGAGTGTTTTCCTTCTGGAGACTGAGGCTGGGATCAAAAGAGCCAGCAGGTAGGCCGTTGCCTGGCAACGCCGGGCGTCGCAGAGTCCTCACGGCCTGGTGCCTCCTTGCGAAGAGGCAGGCTTGGTCACGTGACTCGGGCTCTACGGGAGGGGCGTGGTCGGGGGGCGCCCGCCTGAAGGGTAGACCCTACTGGCCTGCGCTCGGCTCCCAGGCAGGGACCGCCAGCCCCGGTTCCCGGCGGAAGAAACAGGCTCGAGAGGGTGAGTGAGCGGTTGGGAGCTCGGAGCAGGTCGCACGCCCTTTTTGTACCGCGGGGAAACTGAGGCCCGGCTAGGTCAGAGGGCCAGTGGATTCTGCGAGGATCCGGTCCCCCTATTCTATCCCCATCTCAGCCCAGCTGCTTCGTCCGTCCATCCATCCATCCATCCCTCCATCCCTACATGGGTGGGAAGAGGGTTGAGCTGAGGGGCTTCGCGGGCTTTCCCTGGAAGGGAAGGAGGTGGGAGCGCATTCCCTGCTGAGAGAATTGTGCTGATGTGACTGGGAAGGGCGACAAGTTCACTTTTCTGAGAACGACTCATAGACAAGGAGTTGGAGAAGATGGGAATGGACAGGTGGGCAGAGGCCAGACCCCCTGGGCCTTATGGGGGTGTGAGGAGTTTGGTCTCCATCTGGAGCAGTGGCGAGCCCTTGGAGGGTTTAGAGCAGGAAGGGGCACACCAGACTTCTTTTGACACATCCCTTTGGCTGCTTGGCTGGAACAGGGTGGGAGGAGCGGAGTGTAAAGATAGGGGAGGAGGGGAGGCCGCTGAAGCTTTGTTGTGGGGCAAAGGACATAGGGCTGGATCTAGAGATTGGGGATATAGGAGCTCCCCAATCGCACCAGCTCTCAGCATCCTGGGTCCTAGAAGTGCCCTCTCCTCTTTGTCCCACTGAGTACAGAGGATAGAAACCCCAAGATGTGATGAGCCTGTGCCCCTTTCAAAGGAAACCTATGACTCCCCAAACTTTAAGCAGCCAGCCTGTTTCTTTTGCCTTTTCCCTGGGCCAAGTAAATCGCTCCCAAAGCTGAACTCTCATATCTTAACTCTCATGACATGGGGACCTTCTCACTCCTCCTAGGCATCTCCAAGGTGGTCTTTCGGGGCTCCCCCAGCTCTTGCCTCCCACATTCCTGTGTTAATCTAGTATCTATTGAGCACCTGCTGTGTCCTTGACACAGTTTGGGGCACTGAAGACTTAACAGTGAAAAAAAAACAGAAGTAGGTTTCTGTTTCCTTCCTGCCCTCGGGGGGTTGACAGTCTAGGACAGTCGTTCTCAACCTTGGCTGCACATTAGAATCACCTGGGAATCTTTTTAAAATCCTGATTTCTGGGCCTCATCCTCCAGAAATTCTGTTTCTTTGTTACTAATGTTGTGGCCCAACCCCATAACAAAGAAACATTTCCGGAGGATGAGGCCCAGAAATCAGGATTTTAAAAAGATTCCCAAGTGATTCTAATGTGCAGCCAAGGTTGAGAACCACTGATAGGAGAATTGAATGACAGTGAACATGAAACAAATCATCAAGGTGATTTCAGGTGATGTTAAGTGCTGAGAAGGAGATAGAAGTTCTAGAGGTAAGGGCGAGAAGGGAAGTGCTTCAGAAAAAGAGGCCCAGGAAGTGCTCTGGGAAGAAGTAATTTTTGTGCTGAGACTTGAAAGGAGTAAAAGCAAGCCACTGGATTATCTGCCAAGAGCATTTAGGGCAGAGGGAACAGGCAGTGCAAAGGCCCTGAGGCAGATGATGACTGGCTGGTTCTCAGGAACAGCAAAGAGGCTGGTGTGACAAAAAGCAGAGTGAGCAAGAGGAGCTGGTGCGTGAAGGGCCTTTTTGGTCATCAAGGCCTGTGACTTTTGTCCTAAATGAATCTGGGAGAATTTTCAGCAGAGGGAGGCAAGATGAGATTCTGCTGTTGCCTGGAAGGAGAAAACCCCAAAGACTGGTAGAGTGGTTCAGGTGACCTGTATGGTGACCTGGACCAAGTGGTGGTGGTTGTGATGGAGAAGAGGCGCAAGTCTAGGGGCCAAGATGATCTTCAAACAAAGGAGCAGTTGGGGAAACAGGTGTGGCTATGGCCCAGGACCATGCTGGCCACCCTTCTCTCTCACTGCAGACCCAGGGAGGGCCATGAAGGTACTACTCCTCACTGGGCTGGGAGCCCTATTCTTCACCTATTATTGGGCTGACAACTTTGACCCAGGTGAGTGCCTGGGGTGGGACAGGGAGGAATCCGGCCAGCTGCTCTGTGCACCCTCTAGGCCAGTGATGGCGAACCTTTTGAGCTCGGCGTGTCAGCATTTTGAAAAACCCTAACTTAACTCTGGTGCCATGTCACATATAGAAATTTTTTGATCTTTGCAACCATAGTAAAACAAAGACTTATATTTTTGATATTTATTTTATATATTTAAATGCCATTTAACAAAGAAAAATCAACCAAAAAAATGAGTTCACGTGTCACCTCTGACACGCGTGTCATAGGCTCGCCATCACTGGTCTAAACTATATGACATTAAACTGATGGAAGCTGTTAGCAGAGCCCAGCAAGGACCCACGATTCAGAGTCAGAATGATGGACTTGACAATAAGCTAAGTGAGTGGGAGACACTGCCATTCACAGGATGTTCAGTGGTGAAAGGAACAAGAAATCAAGCCCACAGCATCTACTAAATGCAAAAAGATTTACACATGCGCCTTTTAGATAGCAGGCACACGGAACTTCCAATGGCGTGAGGTTCTCAGCAATCTTCCAAATGTAAACAAAAAAAAATGTGTGTTAGCTTATGTTTTTTGTACAGGTCAGGCTCTTCAAACTATTTTTCATGTATTAATTTGTTGCTATTTCACAGCTAGGTTATCAATTGAGAAATACTCTTTTCATATTTTACAGGTGAAAATCCATGACACAGAGAGTTTAAGTAACATTTCCAATGTCAAATGACCGTTAGTAAACTAAGTTGCTGGGATTAAATTCCAAGCAATTTAGCATCAGCGTCCATCCTCTCACAGTGGAAGTTCATCCTTATGGTCCACAATGGGAGGGGGCTTCAGGCTGGGGCCCCCCGTGCGTCTGGCAGGTGGAGGGAACCTGCGGGGTGGAGGGGCCCACGGACAGCTCTGGCCCCCCAGGTGGTAGGGAACTGCCGGAAGCTGGGCGCTCCCAAGGTCTTCTTCATCGCTGCGGACATGGCTTCCCTCGTGGTGCAGTTTGCGCTGGACAAGCTGGGTGAGGGGCGGGGCCTGGAGTCTGGGACTGTGGCTTAGACCTCCGGGGCTTAGACCTTCGGGGCGTGGGGGAATTGGCGTGGGGGTGTGGTAGTAATGGGTGGACATTTATACGGTTCTGGGGCGTAACCAGGGGTGGAGCCTCCTTGCATCTGGGGAGCTCCATTGGATTAGGGACGTAGCCAGTCTGTCAGGATCCGGGGAGGGGCTCTACCAAGAGCTGAACTCGTGGGATCCACGCTCTGAGTGGAGTTTGAGAGTTTGGGGGGCGGGGCTCGGGAGGAGTCCAGGGGGGTGGAGCCCCAGGACTAGCTGCTCGCTGATGGGCCTCTCCCGGACAGGCGGGCTGGACTACCTCGTGCTGAACCACCTGGGTGCTGCCCCAGCCGGCACACGGGCCCACAGTGCCCAAGGGACCAGCTGGCTCATGCAGGTGCTCCGCCCCTTCTCGGGCGCGTGCTCCATCCCTCCTGTCCCCAGGTCCCGTCTCTAAGTTTGCTAGTTTCACCCCGTTTCCACTGTGGCTCCTCACGCTGCTTTCTTCATCGCTGCGGACATGGCTTCCCTCGAGGTGCCCGAGCTCGTGGTGCAGTTTGCGCTGGACAAGCTGGGTGAGGGGCGGGGCCTGGAGTCTGGGACTGTGGCTTAGACCTTCGGGGCAGGACCCGAATTGGCGTGGGGGGTGTGGTAGTAATGGGTGGACATTTATACGGTTCTGGGGCGTAACCAGGGGTGGAGCCTCCTTGCATCTGGGGAGCAAGAGCTGAACTCGTGGGATCCACGCTCTGGGTGGAGTTTGAGAGTTTGGGGGGCGGGGCTCAGGAGGAGTCCAGGGGGGTGGAGCCTCAGGACTAGCTGCTCGCTGATGGCCTCTCCCGGACAGGCGGGCTGGACTACCTCGTGCTGAACCACCTGGGTGCTGCCCCAGCCGGCACACGGGCCCACAGTGCCCAAGGGACCAGCTGGCTCAGGCAGGTGCTCCGCCCCTTCTCGACCCTGCCTCCCAGCCTCCGGGCGGGTGCTCCATCCCTCCTGTCCCCAGGTCCCGTCTCTAAGTTTGCTAGTTTCACCCCGTTCCCACTGTGGCTCCTCACGCTGCTGGCACTCCAGCCCTTCCCTCCCAGGCTCCAT